GGGGGTTCTAGAGGGGAGGGGGGTGGGGGGATGGGTTAGCCTGGTGATGGGTATTAAAGAGGGCACGTTCTGCGTGGAGCACTGGGTGTTATATATGCAGACAATGGATCATGGAACACTACATCAAAAATTGATGTATGGTGATTAACATAACAATAAAAATTTAAAGAAAAGAAAATGTATGAAGAGATAAAGGCTCAGTGTTCACATTACAATCTGTATGTATGACATCAATAATATGTGTGATGTATGGAAATATGTTGCTTTCCATGAATTACGCCCCAGTGACTGTTCATCACCAAGCGGTAGAGTTCTGTGGCGTGGAGACACTGAGAGCTTAAGTTTCTCTTGTCCCCCTTTATATCCAAACCCAGCCCTGCCTGCCTGGTTAGTCCTGTGCTCTTCTCTCTTCCTAGTAACAGTGGCAGATTCACTCTCCCCTCTGCTCACTTACTCCCTTCTTAAGCTATAATCGACCCTCATTCTCTGCTTCTACCTCCTTACCTCGTACATTGTTTTAATCCCTCGCAATCTGACTTCCTTTTCTACCACTCTAGAAAAATGGTTCTTTAGAGAAGTACAGCTCCCGGGGCCTGCATACACCAGCGCTGGGATAGAACAGTGAAAAGACTGGTTCTCTTTGTGCCTTTCTGGTGCTTAGGTGTGGTGAGGGGTTACGCGTGGGGTAAGTTTTACATAAAGAGGAAATGCATAGTACTATGGGAACATGTATTAAGGAGATTTCATTTAGTCTGGGTACAAAGAACGCTTCTCAGAGTGACACTTAAAATGAAACTTAATGGTGGAGTTAGCTAGGCGTCAGCTAGAGGAAGAGGAAGAACCTCCCAAGTGAGAACGTATCCTGAGGTCGGAAGCTGAGAGCGCAGTGTACCCAAGCACTGAAAAGCCGTGTGTGGAGCATTGGAATGGGCCACGCTTTTTTTTTTTTTTTAATTTTATTGAGAGAGTGTGCTTACAAGCTGGGGGTGGGGGGAGGGCAGAGGGAGAGGGAGCAGCAGACTCCCCGCTGAGCAGCTCCATCCCAGGACCCTGAGATCATGACCTGAGCCAAAGGCAGACACTTAACCTAATGAGTCACCCAGGAGCCCCATGGAGTGGGCCACACTTAAAAAAAAAATTGGATGCCCCCTAAAAGAACTGTATTTCCCTCACACATTTTTAAGTTAATAGCTAAAATTGTTCTTATTGTAAGTTTAGTTAGTTACAAAAGTAAGTTCTGATGAGTTACGACATTTTAAAAATGAAGTGATTACAGAAATCTTTTAAATGGTCTGAATGCATTATGAATACCATGGCGATTTTATTACCCATCATCATCTGTTTAAATACTTAAGGTTTTTACCAATTAGAAGTTTACATTGATCCTTTCTTTTTCTCCTTGAAAACATATTTCATTCCACTTGTACCACAGAATTTAACTTAATGGAATATCCTTTTATGATTCGAAGTCTTTTATTGCTCAGACTATATCATCAAGTATCTAAAAGTAAAAATTTCTCCTGGATTAGGTCTTGCTGTTGTTAGCAATATACAGTGAATCAGTGTGTATCACAAAGTCTGATAATTATTGTAAATAAAGTTTTATTGACAACACCTGTCTTAGTGATGCCTTAATTAAAAGAAATTTTAAATTATCTTTTGGTGTCCTCAAGTTCATTACACCTTTCCACCTCTGCAGTGCAGTACAATGTAGTTAAGATTTGAGGTGGACCAAGTGGGTGGGGACTCCCAGGAGTCTTCATAGGCAGATCAGTTTCAGGAAAGTTAAGCATCTGAAAGTCGGGTCCTTTAGAACTACTCATGACCACATCTTTACATATTTTCAGGGATTCCCCATGGAATAGTTTGAAAACTATCGGTGGAGAAAGTAAGTGGGACAAGGGAAGGAGACAAAGACGGTAGGGGTTGAGTCAGGAAAGGAAAGATCGGGAAGAACCACATGACGGTGGGACTTATACATGCAAATGATTTTAGACCTTATCCCAAAGGATCTGGAAAGCTACTGAAAGGCTTAAAAGAGGGATTTTTTTTTTTTAATTGTTCTAGGCAGTGTGGCAAGTAGGTCGGGAACACGTTGGAGATGTTGCTAGACTCACAACTAGAGATAATGTCGGCTTAGACTTTGTTAGTGACCCTGTATGGAGAACAATTAATTCCTCATGTACGGCCTTTTTGGGGGGAAATTTGACAGTGTCCACCAAACGTGGACAGATAGCCTTTCAATCAATAAATCTAATTAAATGAGCGTCCATAGTAGAATAATTACATGAATTCACAAAGATGACAAGTGAAATGCTATGTTGTAGGTGGAAAGAAACAAATAGATTGAAATGTATTGCCTTAGATCTCCAGGACATTAGGTGAAATAAGGTTGCTGAATAATCTATGCACTACTATCCCATTTCAGTAAAAACTAAATAAAACAATATTTCTACATGCAAAAGACTACTGGTGACAGTGATTATCTCTGGGGCAGGAAAGTTCAACAAATGTTATATCCACTGCTAGTTGCATATCCCACCGGCTCAGTTGGGTTTCAAAGAACAAAGATGAAGGCCCTGAGGTCATGACCCTTGTGAGGCGTGTGTGGGGGGGGATGGGATTTACTTATTAGATGGGCAATAAAAAAAAGCAAAGAGATAAATAAGGGAGAGCTGAAAGGTGTGATCCACAGGAGTTAATTGACTGGTGGTGATAAACGAGAAAGGGAGGAGGGAGGAATGCCTTCCAAGTCTCAGGCTTGAGTAACGAGGTGGAATTTCATCTGATGGAGTGGAAACAGGTTGTATGGGGTGTGGAACTTAGCTGGGGGAGTGGGAGCCTTTTAAGAAAAACACAAGTTTACAAATACAAAAGTAGATGTGAACGTGGATATTTATTTAGAATGAGAAAAATCACAAGAAAAAGAATTAGCTGGCAGATCACAAAAATAAAATATTCAGAAAACTAACATTATGTAACTATCATGTATCTGTAGAGTATACCTTTCGACTATGAAAACCATTTTATATTTTCTACATATAGCAAGAAAAATCGTCTTTCCTCTAGTGTGGTAAATGGAAATTTAGTTTTTATCACCGTTAGGATGTATAA